AAAGAGTGGTCAGACCCTGGAACAGACTGCCTGGGGAGGGGGTTGAGTCGCCATCCCTGGATGTGTTCAAGTGTCGCTTAGATGGGGTGTTGGGGGAGATGGTTTAGGGGTGACCTTGTAGTGTAGGGTTAATGGTTGGACTCGATGATCCCAAGGGTCTTTTCCAACGTGGATCCCAAGGGTCTTTTCCAATTGTTCTATGATTCCTGGATATGCTGTCACGGGAGAGGCTGAGCTGGCAAGGTTTTTGAGTGCTTGAAACCTTGAATGGATACCTTGTCTTCTTTATGTGCTCTTCCAGTCTTAGAGGATCTCCAGTCTTTTTTAGCTCTTGCCATGAAGAATCTCAGGTAGGAGTCACCTGAGAGATCAGCTGGTGGGGTTGGTTGTGGGAGGAGGAAGCGTGCAGGTCCGTATTTTGGGAGGACTCGGAATTATTAATTTGAGAATCTCGATGGTACCATGCAGAACGAGGAGAACTTCAAGTAATTTGCACAGAGAAGCCTGGAAGAAGAGCCACAGACGGTAGAAGCCCCTCTGCCACCACCGTGACCACTCTAGTGAGGGAAACACCCCGAGATGCAGCATGGAGGTAGCTGCTCCATTGGTTTGAGCATTTCTGCTCCCAGCAAGTCTCAGCCATGGCTGCCAAGCGATAAAAGCTGGTTTTTGGAGAACCTGGGATTCTGAAAGGGGTGCACTTCATGCCGCCTGTCTGCACCGTGCCAAGGGCAGAGGGCATGGCTTGTGCCAGCAGCGGTGGGGAGCATTAATTTTTGCTACAAATTTTAAAACTGACGCGGCTGCTCGCGAAGTTACGCCTGAAAATGATGGCTGACTCATAAAATGCTTCTTTCTTGAACTGAAAGTAGCCGAGTTGAATGTGCATTTTGTCGTGCGCCTTGATCGAATCAACACCAGCTTCATCAGGTGAAGCCTGTTTTGAGGTTCATCACTAGAAGCTTTGAAATCCCGTGCTGGCTTTTTAAGTTTTGGTAAAATCCAATGAGCACTAACATTTACCTGCCATATCCTAGGAAGGCACAAGCGCTCTTGAAATGGTCTGTTCAGAAAAATGGGTTTGTTGCATTTGTTTTCCAACAGCCACACTACCTCCCCCCTAACCTTTTTTGATTATATGACCTGAAAATGTATTAATGTTTGTAAAATCGATGCTGACGGTCTGCTCCTTGGAAATCAGCAGGTATGCATAGAATTCATAAGGAGATCAAACTATCAAAGACATAATTGCTGGCAAAATTAAGTCGTGGAAGAAATTTAGGACCAGAACCTCTTTTTTTTGAGATCTATTTGAAAGGCATGAGCTGCCCTCTGAGGTTCACATTCTATGAAGACATCACTGGCAGTAACACAGTGCTGAGTGACCCTTGGCCATTAAATGCATAAATAAATACCATAGATGCATTGAGAGTATTTTTTTCTTGTATTTATTATTATTTTTATTTTTATTTTGAGCCTTCCTCCTGAGACCTGACGATCAGGTGCCTCTCTTGTGAATTCACACCATCTGGATGCAGCAGTAGGACCGGAGTTGTCCCAAGCAAGCTGAGCGCAGTCACTGAACTCGCAGCTTCTGTCGCGGTGATGGGGTTTTTTTCCCTCCGGTGGGATGACCCTCTTTTGCCAATGTTTCTTCATCCATTTGTATTTTCTTCTTTTCTAGTATGGTTTCGTCGTATTTAGTTCATCATGGGTACTGTTCAACAGCAACTGCCTTTGCCAGAGTCACAGACACCACGATCCAGGAAGAACAGACCTCAATAAAGAACAGGCAAAGTAAGTCTTGCTCCGTTTTCCCACCGTCTCGATTAATTTTCCTCAGTTTTGTTGAATAGCTGCACCCTGGAAGAGAGGAAGTGACTCAGTTTTGAGACCGGTGGTTTCACACATCAGGCTGAAGGTGATATCTTGGGCAGAAGGTGCTTTCTTGGAGGTAGTGCCAGAGAGCTCGAGAGTTGGTTACCTGGGATATATGTCACCACGTACCAGGATCCCTGTGGGTTTGGGTTCGTCGGTGCCAGGGGCAGTTTCGTTAGCGTGGTCCTGGGGATCCAGACACATCAGCCTGTTGCTGCTGCGACTCCCAGAGTTAACGAACCTTCCGGTTCCTTTGCACGTTGTGTCTTCGGGTCAGTTTTTTTGCATGTCGAGGATTTTGCCAATTCACAGCCAAGGTGTTTAGCTGACACGTTGCACTGGGGAAAGGATTTGTAGCCTGTGCCTGTTTTTGGTTGCTCCTTCCTCCGAAATGGCTTTGGCTTCCTGCACCTTTAACTCTCACCTTTCTCCTGCTGCACTTTTGGGGGTATTTTATTTTTTTTTAGATTTTTCTGTTCACAAGCTCAGACTGTGGAGTCATCAGCGCTTTTTCTGCATTCTCCTGGCTGCTGAATACAGGCTACACATCCCGCTCTGTACGTTTCCCTTCCCTTTGTCAACCGTTCCTCATGTGACCGTTACGTACCGGGAGCATCGTGCCCCTTTTGTACCTCCCTCCCCATACATTGCACGCGCTTAGCCAGCGTTTGGGTTCATTTGGGGACTCTGCTTAGTACCCAAAATAACTTGTTAGCTGCTGCCCGTTCGTGCTGATGGGCTTTTGTGCTTTCCAGATCACGCGTTACCCAACCCCGACCCCAGCCGTTGTTCTGGTTTTAGTTGGTAAAGCTTTAACGGGAGGCACGTGAGAGAGCGCAGTCTCCTTTTGACACAGGGCAGGGGCTGAGGCAGGTGGAAGGAATGTAAAGCTCTGAAGTTGGGACTTAGATAAAAGGTGTGAGGAGAGCACAGGTGGGGAAACAAAGAGAGAGGAAAGTCTAAAAGGCAGCAACATCTCCGAGAGTTGCCAAACAAGGCAAAGGAGAGAGCTCTTGGGAGCAGTGAGACAGGAAAACGGACGTGGCAGCGTCTGGAAGAAATGGAGAACGAAACGAAGGAGACTCTGCAACACACGCTGGTGGCTTTGGGGGAATCTCATTAACCTAGAGAAATATCTGAGGGGTGGGGGTCAAGGGGAAGGGGACAATCTCTGCTCAGTGGTGCCCAGCAACAGAACAAGGAATAATGGGCGTCAGGTAGAACATGGAGAGTTCCACCTCAACCTGAGGAGAAACTTGTTGGCTGTGCGGGTGCCGGAGCCCTGGCCCAGGCTGCCCAGAGAGGGTGTGGAGTCTCCTTGGGACCTACTCCCTTCATCATCCTCGTAGCTCTCCGTTGGACTCGTAGAGTCCAACTTGAACTAGAGAGGGTGTGGAGTCTCCTGCTCTGGAGACTTTCCAACCCGCCTGGACACGTTCCTGTGGGGCTGCCCTGGGTGACCCTGCTCTGGCAGGGGGTGGCACTGGATCATCTCTAGAGGTCCCTTCCAACCCCAACATTCTGTGTTTCTATGATTTAGCTTTTGGCTATGAGAGCGAGCGAATAGACAAGCCAAGACAAGTGGTTGCAGATCGTTAGCGGGGATTGCTAATGAGAGTTGCCAGGCTGGGCTTTCAACCGCTTGGACTCACCGAAGTCACGGCCTGTTGTTAGTCACCTTCTGCTTTGCTAAGCCCCTCACGGGCAATTTGAAAACCTCTCTGTGCTTTGTAGGGAGTCCTGGAAAAACAACACCTTTTTAGCTTTAAGCACTTTTAGTTGTCAGCTTTAGGTACACTTAAAAAAAAATAAACAAGATGTGGACCTCTGTAGATCAGCAGCTTCTCTGAGTGTTCAGGGATGGGATCTCAAGTCTTGAGCTTGTGTCTTCTGACCTGCTGAGGGAACATATGTGGGACATGAACGCCCAGGTTGATAGATGGCTTCTGTCTTGTGTTTCGTATCAACCCACTGAGCTGTTTCTGACTTACTCAGTAGCTGTTTCTTGGAGCTCCCAGGGGCCCCATCCTCACTGTAGGCCAAGCACATGTTATTTCTCTGCAAATACACTGAGGTGGGACTTGCAGGAGCCCGGTTTTGTTGCTATAGCTATTTCTGCTGCGAGGTGAGGATATTGGGGAAGCAGAGCACACCCACCCCAGCGTGCCAACATCACCCTGCCCATCCTTCTGCTCCTGGACTTGGAGCTGCTAACGGAATGTCCTTCATTTTTCACAGGCTTTTCTTCATCCTAGCCTGTAACAAACAAAACTGGTCCCCAGTTCTCCCTGGCCCTCACGCTGGGGGCTGATGGGGAGCTGTGGGGTGTATGTGAGCCAACTCTTCTGGCTGTCTGTGACAATAAATGTCCATAAATGTCCTTTTGCTTTCAGGAATACAGAAGCTAGTATTAGCAGGCAGAGTGGGAGAGGCTATAGAAGCCACCCAACAGCTCTACCCCGGCCTCCTAGAACATAACCCCAACCTGCTCTTCATGTTAAAGTAAGTATGAGTAGCTTTACACTCCCTAATGCTGAAATCTGTAGATGGAGGGGAGAAGAAAGAGGCCGTCCAGCTTAGTCTGTCTTCAAATTGTTTGGAATCCCTTTGGCAGCAGGAGGGAGAGGACACGGATTGTTGTGCAGGGTTGGTAGCAAAGTAGACTTTTTGGTGCTGCTCGGACCCAGCGTGGCTTTGCCTCACGAGGTGGGTGAAATTCTGACGGCCAGGAGCTCCTTCGCAGATGGCCTTGACTTGTCTTGTTGGAGGTTTTGCAACGCCAGAGCGCGTGGCAGTCGCGATGAAGGTTGCTAGAAAGACAGATGAAGAGAAGAGGCTGTCTGGGGTAGAGACTTCTGGGAAAAACTGTTTGTATATCCCAGTTCTCTCAGCCCGTACAGAATGGCTCTCCCCAGTCTCCCGAGACATTGGAGGACAATTCCCAGTAAAGCTAAATAAGGAGCTGTCCTGGCTGTCACTGTGGGTATTGCGTATTTTACCCTTCCTTCTCTATTTTCTGTTGGCCACCAGTATTTCTAGGTTGAGGGAATAGTGGAGGAGCTGTGATACTTGGCAGATTTAGCCTCTTCACCCTTGAGGGAAAAAAAAAATCCACCGTAGTTGCAGTTTCTGAACTCCTTCCTCCCGCAGCATTATCGGAGCGCTCGTAATACCTGGCGCCTTTGTCCCAGGAGCCTGAAATGTCTTTTTGGAAGCCAAGAGATTTAACTTCTATGCAGTTTCTAGGATTTCTCCACTCGGGAAGCCTCCGTGCAGAGCATCCCGCCTGTCACGCGCCCTTTTTCTCCTTTTTCCCTCCTATGAAATCAGGTGTCGGCAGTTTGTGGAGATGGTGAACGGGACGGACAGTGAAGTACGTTGTTTCAGCGCCCGCAGCCCCAGATCCCAGGACAGTTACCCCGGCTCCCCCAGCTTAAGTCCTAGACATGGATCAAGCAACTCCCACGTTCACAGTACGGGTGAGTGCGTTTTCCGTGTCTCCTGGCGAGAAGAGCAAATGTCAAAGGTGGGAGTAGTTGTGTGTTAGGGTACCTGCTACTTTCCAAACTGTTCTGTGATACGCTCCTTTCCCTTTTGGTGCTTTGAGGACATACTACTATTTTGGCTGTCTGTACTATTACACAGTTGCCTGCAGAGTAGGGTTTTTTATAGTAAAAAAAGCTTTTGAAGGTGCAGCCACTAGTGACTCGGTGTTTCACTGTCCAAGCTGTCTGGCATGTCCCGCCCAGGAGAGGGGGACAGGTGACTTTTAGATTCGTAATACCCCAACAGAGTGGACAATGGTGAGAGAAGTCTCAAGGTCCACAGACAAACATTTATTATTAAATTTATCACAACACATAGATCGGGCTCACGACAATGGATTCTGATTTAAAAACACGATAGGGCAGTCAATATAACAAAAACCAGGAAAAAGGCTAAATATGCAATAAACTATAATAACTTGATGATAACAAGAGATAATACAGGACATCTAAACACAATATTATAATGGACAATGTTATTCTTGACCATTACAAGAAAGAAATTTAAGCATGAACTAAGTAAACAGTGTGATTACTTTGGTCCAGCCAAAGCAGAGCTCAGGATGCATCCGTTGTTGTCTTCTTTTCTTCTTCTTCTCCTCCTTTTCTTCTTCTTTTCTTCTTCTGCTCCTGCACTTTTCTTCTTTTCTTCTTCTGCCACTTCTTGCTTTACTTTGCCTTAGTTTATACACAGTTTTCTGCATGCGGATGTGCGGAATGTCAGTAGGGGATCAAGACACTTCATTGGTTCTGGTACTTGTTGGCATGTGTGAATTATTTTGGTAATTCTCATTAGCGTGCGCAAATGTCCCGTCTCCTTGGGAGACAGGCTGCTAGATAAGGCCATCCTGCCTGCGCAAGAATACCTGATCTCATCAGTATTGTCTGAGTATCTGTAGCCTTATCGGATCGCCCCTCTGCAACATTCCATCACTTTGTCACACAGAACCAGAAACTTTTTTCACCAAGCTGGGGGTTTATAAAAACGACAGGAAATGTTTAAGGCAAAATTCACACCTTTGTCCGCTACGCTGTCAGAGCAGATCCGGAAGGCGAAACCTGTTTCCTCTGCCTTGGAATCTACAAGAGAATTGTTTTCCCGTGACAACCAAGCAGAAGAGACTTTTCTGGCCAACTGAGCGAAAGGTTAGGGGCTGCCTTGCTTCGCCCTCCCCTGTGGGTGGACTTCACCTTGCAGGCTCTAAACATGTGAGAAGGGAATGGATCCGCACCCGCAAACCCCATCTCTGGAGCAGTTGGGGAAATTCAGCTTTAGGTTTTGAAATGGAAAGAACAAGATCAACCAGGACATGCAAGATATCTTCCCTAGGTAATGACTGACTGTGAAGATGGCGTGGGGCCAGGCAGTATGACCTGCAGAGCCCCTGAGAACAGTCTGAGCTGCTTCCCTGAGCCTTGAGCTGCTCACAGGGTGTATTTTGATTCAGTATTCCTAAAATCCTGCTGCTGCATGTGGCAAACTGCAGACAGGCAAACGTTTAAGGGCAAGGAAGACAGTTGCTTGAATGTCTCCAAGCTGTCCCTCACCTCCCCAAGCCAGTACCTTTGTTTTCCTATACTGTGTTGCAAGAAGCCCAAGGTTTCTCTGACTAAATAGTCAGAATCAGTCCATAAAAGCTCCAATTTTCAACCAGGAGGTGCCTACATTGAAGAAAAACCCTGCAACGCAAGGCAGCATTCATGTACGTGTATCACCGTGTATGAGACGTCACCTTCTAGAGTTCACCCTGTCAGACCTCGCGCTTTCAGAACTGTGATGGTTTCGTCAGTGCCCGTTTCAAAAAGATGAAGCAGACCTGGGGTGCCCAGCCTGTGGTGTGGCTGCTGTTGAAATGCATTGAGTTGCCGCAATAGAAATAGAAATAAATCCCCTTGCTGTAAATGTAATTGTGGGATCAGCTCATAAATTTGAATATACATCGTCATCACTTCTGGAGGAACAGCCGCGCCGCGTCCCATCATCCGGCCAAGAACCTGTGGTCGATATTGATTGCGGAGAGAAGAATATATGAAGGCGGCAAGCCCACAGCGAGGTTTTTCCCAAAATATTATCCAAGCCTCTAATGATCTGTGGTTGATTTGGTCTTAAATAGCTTCTATTAAGTTTAGCCTGTCGTTTTTGAATGGTAATGACCAAAGGTTTGTATGCTGTGTCGGTGAGTTCCACAGCTTGGCAGGAACCTTTTGTGGGGATGAAATGTCAACCTGACTCTCTTTTCAGTGACGTCTGCTCTCCTGAATGAGGAAGGTTGACTTAGGGTTATAAAGAGCTGTTTGCTGAAGGTTTTGTGAATCCCAGTATATCCCTAATGTTAGATGGGTTGTGGGAAGTTCTGCTTGCAAGGATTTCTCCTTGTGGCCCTGGTTTTGCAGATGCTCTCATAGTTTAGGAGAGGGTTTATGAGAAATATTTGGGTTTGTGTCAAGAGAATTGGTAAACTTCTTTACAAACCAATAATTTCTGAGCTTGTCTGAGCTGTTTCTGCTGAGCTCTTACTTACAGCCCGTTTTTAGAACTTCCTTAAGCTCAGGTGTTGCTGCTGAGCAGCGGGGTTCCTTCCACGTCCATTCGTGTGTCCTCGAAACCCCATTGCATTTAAGAACAACGAAACGTAATTTAAGATCCGCGATCTTGTTTTACTTTCTTCCTGTGCTCTTGCTGCATTTTTGACTTCCCAACAGAGCGATGTTGTCAGTCCACTCTCATTTTTCCTTTTCTTCTTGACTTTCAGGAGCGGATAGTCCAACCTGTAGCAACGGAGTCGTGTCCACAAAAAGCAAACAGAGTCACAGTAAATACCCAACGCTGAGTTCATCATCTTCGTCTTCCTCTTCCTCCTCCCCCTCATCTGTGAACTACTCGGAGTCCAATTCTACAGATTCTACCAAATCTCAGCAGCACAGTAGTACGAGTAACCAAGAAACCAGGTAATTTTTTTCTTGGTAGCTGCCTGAGGAGGGTGAGGTGGTGGCAGACGGCTCCGTCTGCTTTCTGAGAAGCCAGAAGGGGCGTCTGTCCTGCACTTCTGAACAACAAAATAGCTCTTCCTATCTCCAGGGCCATTACCATTCCCAGCAGAAACAAGCCTCTTCCAGTTCTCCCGCTCCAGCTTAGGCTTGGAGGCTCGTCTCGTGAGGAATATTACGATGCTCTGGTTTCAAACACCAAGCTGTCCCGTTAAACTGATGTCCTCAGAGCCCAGCGTGACAGTTCATGTAGAAGCTGGTTTTGGTACAGCTCCCTGCGCCGTTCAGTTGCTGCCGCGAAGCAGCTCGCCTGCCCCTTGGTGGGGGAGGCAGCAGCTCAAGCGATTACTGGGTTGATGCATCATCCTCTTGAGTATTTTTCTTGGGTTACCTCTGCCTGTTGACTGGTTCCTTCCAGACGAGCCTCTGAATCAACAGTGATTTGTTTCACCCTTGTGTCAGCAAGGCAGCTCCCTCCCTGGAAGTGTTTGAGGCCACGCTGGGGCTTTGAGCGCTCTGGTCTAACGGGTCTAGACTCAGTTGACCAGAATCATTTGATAAGGCTGGATTTATGATTCTTTTAAAAAAAATGTAGAGCCCAAGTCCCAGCAAGATTTTCTCATCATCAGTCTTATCAGGACTGCTGTCTTGAACACTTAAGCCCAGAGCCCTTGTGTTCTGTATTGCACTTTTACAAAGGTTGATGCCTTGCTGCAGCCAAGATTTCCCTCCTGTTCAGTGTGTTTGTGTGTTGTCTGGCCCAGAGACGAGTGCTTCCTGAAAGGAAAATCATAAATGCTCTGTACCTGTAATTACAATGAGAACTTTCAGAAAAGAAACTGGTTTCCTAAGTTGATTTTGGAAGCCTGCAGCTGTTTTTGCTCCGCTGAATTACACCATCTAGCTCCCTGTAGTCCAGCTGACACCTTTCCTGGTTTGCTGGCCATTGCTGGACACGGTTTGACACCTCAGCTCTTAATTTCTTCCCTTTCTAATTTAGCCGTCTGACCTTTCTTTCCTCCTTTCCCCTCAGTGACAGCGAGATGGAAATGGAGGCTGAGCATTACCCCAACGGAGTCCTGGAAAACTCATCCGCCAGGATAATGAATGGCACCTACAAACACGAAGAGATCCTCCAGACGGATGAGTCCAGCATGGGTAGGGCCTCAGAGGCAGAAGGGGTAAAGGGAGTAGCAGGAGCTGGTATTGAGAGTTAAAACTGTGATTGGATTGTGGGGGAAAACCATGTACTTAGGGTTTCTTTCCCCACCCCAGTTGTCAAGATGCCTCTTTCACGGGGAAAATGAATCTCTCTTGGAACTAAAACCAGATCTGGCTTCATAATCTCATGGTCTCTATAGTCTCACAGCAGTGCTGGTGATGTTGTGGAGCAGGGAGAGCAACAGGAGTCAAAGGGTTTGTTCAGCACTGATCGGGAGTCCCAGCTCAGAGCAGTCCTGGCACTTCTGCCCTCTGAGGACCTGAACCAAGCTGGTGCCCGGCCACAAAATGTCCTCAGCGCAGGGTGGATACTTCAGCCAGGAGGGAGAGGATGAATTGGCTACAGGACCTCCGAAAATGGGATTTTATATATTATATATATATATAATGGGTCTCGTGGCCACCTCATCCTGGGAAGCTGGTGGTGTGGGCATCTCCGACTGAAAGTTTTCTGAGTCCAGGGTTTGTCAGACAAGTGGTATCACACACATGAAAGGGTAACACGGCTGGAGTTGCAAGCTCCCGTGGTTTTATCACAATATTTTATTTGTAGGTGATCCTCAAGCATTAAACTGAGCTCACGTTTTCCCTGTACCAAGCTGGTGCTGTGAGAAAACCCCACCATGGGCTGTTGTAGTGCAGGGATCACAAAAAGCTTCCACTGGGAAGCTTCCCTCCGGAAAGGGAAGAAATTTACAGGTTGTGTGGTGGGGAATGATTGCTGATGGTGACTTCTCCACTGCCTTTCCCCTAGAAGACAGCTGCCCCCAGAGGCAGCTCTGTGGAGGGAACCACGCCGCCACGGAGCGAATGATCCAGTTTGGACGGGAGCTGCAGATGCTGAGCGAGCAGCTTTGCAGAGAATACGGGAAGAACACAATCCACAAAACGTTGCTCCAGGTAAGCCTGGGGCCTTGTGCTGCGTCGCAGGGCCAAGACTTGGGGTCATGGGTTCTCTTGCAGAGCTGTGGACGAGCCCCACTTCTGCCTCTGTTGAGGAAGAGGGGGCCTGCATGGGGATCGGAGGCAGAAACTCAGTGAACATGGAGCATCTAGACTCAGTTCTTGGCGCAGGAGAGAAGAAATCCGGCTCCTGCCTGCCTTCGCTCTTCTTCTCTCCAGGTGACACTCTACCTGCCTTCCCGTGCTGGCTCCCCTGCCAAGTGGAGGGGACGCCCTCTTTAATCCTCTCTCTTGCTGGCTCAGTGTGGTGCCGAGAAGAAAAGGGCCATTTCTTTGCAGGAGGTAGGCACCCGTCACGTTGGTGATGGCAGGAGGTGCCCCGGCTGATGGACGCCTGCCTTCGCTCTTCTTCTCTCCAGGTGACACTCTACCTGCCTTCCCGTGCTGGCTCCCCTGCCAAGTGGAGGGGACGCCCTCTTTAATCCTCTCTCTTGCTGGCTCAGTGTGGTGCCGAGAAGAAAAGGGCCATTTCTTTGCAGGAGGTAGGCACCCGTCACGTTGGTGATGGCAGGAGGTGCCCCGGCTGATGGACTCGGCGGTTGTCCCGTGTGTTGGCAGCCGTGCCTGCCCTTACCCTGCCTCTCTGTTCTCTCCCGCAGGACGCGTTTAGCTTGTTAGCTTACTCAGACCCTTGGAACTGCCCCGTCGGTCAACAGCTGGACCCGATCCAGAGGGAACCTGTGTGTGCTGCTCTTAATAGTGCTATTTTGGGTAAGGCCTGATTCCTGTGTGAGCTCTACCCGCTGGAGATACCTGCGTTCAAGGGCTGTCCTGGGGCAGGGGAGGTCATGAGCGTCAGGAAAAGTTCAGAAATCCTCGTGTCGAGCTTTTGCCTCTCTTTCTGTCGCTGGGGACTGTCGAGGCGGTGGTGTAGGGAGGTGGCGGGCGCAAAGGAAGCATGCAGAGACCAGATCCGCCTAAACTAACCTCCTTTTGGCTCCCTTCCTTGGGTTTTCCTCAATGCTGCTTCCAAGGATGCTCCTCAGGCTTTGCCTCCCCTGTTTACTGCAGAAACCAAGATCCCTTTGACGCATTCCTCACCCTTCTTGCTCCAAATCAGCTCGCTGGCCAGGGTTAGACGGGTCTTTTCCGTGAGTTTTGTGTTGGCAGAGTTTTGTCCTGGTGTCATCCTTCTTTCTGGTAGGGAATGCAGTTGCTCTGTTGCAGCAGCTCGTAAGTGAAGCAGATTCCCACAGCGGTGGCTCTAAAGCAGGGGGGCCCAGAAATCCAGTTACTTTTGATCTCACATTGGACCTGCAGAGTTCAATGGGTCCGTCTTCCCTTCGAGCGTCGCCTCTGCGGATTCCCATCGTGTGCTATCCCTCCTAGAGAGCCTGGCTGCCTGCAGTCCGGGGTCGGAATCAGGGCTGTGGTAACGATCCAGCCCTGTTGTTCTTTCCCTTCTGGTCTTAACCGTGCTGAGAGGACCCTGCGCTGTGCAGAGATTTGGTTATAGGTTGGCTTGCTTCAGCCAGCGAGACGGTCACCCTTTTCCTGACGAGGTTTGCTCTTTGTGTCAGCGGGATGGATCGTGGCCAGTTCCAGGTAGGAGCAGTCTCTTGCCCTCCTCTATGTCCTCAGAGCTGAGCGTTTATGCCTGCGCTTCTGTTTTCTTTAGACAAGTATGTTCCTTGGCCCAACAGCTTGTTCTTGAACCTGGTGTAATAAATGCAGTAGCTTTCCCTGAGGGAAGAGCTATGAGGGCGATCAAGGGACTGAACATCTCTGCTGGGAAGAGAGACGGAGAGACCTGGGGCTGTTCAGCCTGGAAAGGAGACGACTGAGAGGGGATTGATGAACGTGGAGAAATATCTGAGGGGTGGGGGTCAAGGGGAAGGGGACAATCTCTGCTCAGTGGTGCCCAGCGACAGAACAAGGAATAATGGGTGTAAGGTAGAACATGGGAAGTTCCAGCTCAACCTGAGGAGAAACTTGTTGGCTGTGCGGGTGCCGGAGCCCTGGCCCAGGCTGCCCAGAGAGGGTGTGGAGTCTCCTGCTCTGGAGACTTTCCAACCCGCCTGGACGCGTTCCTGTGGGGCTGCCCTGGGTGACCCTGCTCTGGCAGGGGGTGGCACTGGGTGAGCTCTGGAGCTCCCTTTCAACCCCCAACACTATGTTTCTGTGATTCTAAGAGGGAGTTGCCATGTCATTGCTGACATCTCCAGCTACAGAAAATCCCACAGTGGAGAAATGGGTTGAGCCATAACGAGGTCACAGCCTGCAAAAAAGGGATTGATTCATTCTAGACAGGGCCCTTGATCCTATCACCAGCCCCGCCGGCACATGCGGTGTCGTTGCTCAGGTAGCTTCACAGAACACTCTCCGATCAGGATTAGCTCAGTCCATCCCGCATCGGCCAGACACTGTCCCCTGGACAGCTTCTCCGCCTCGGAAACCCACACTTGGCTCTTGTGCACTGCCCCACTGACCGTGCCCACGCGTATTTCCTGATGGGTCCGTGCACCTCCCGTTGTGAAGGGGATCCAGAGACTGACTGCTGTGGAGAGAAACAGCTTCTGGACAACCCCACGAGGGCTCCCGTTCTGTCTGAGTGAAGGAGCAGCAATGCTGTGGTTTGGGAAGGAGCGTCCTTTCCCCTGACAGCACGGGCGGTTGCCCAGCGGGGTGACACGGTTCTCGCCGTCGTTTGCCCAGTGCTTGAGGAGCACAGACAAGTTGCTTGAAGGGGTGTCACCGGGGGGGACGTGAAAGACGGTGTCTGGACGTGCTTTGTCACACAGGTCGCGAGACACCTTGTCTAGCTCAGCCGAGGGTTCCCCCTTGCGTACGTAGCAAACGCGGAGCTGGGAAGCAGCGGTGAGCACCAAGTGAGTTTGTGTGAGCCTCGGCCGACTGGGTGGGCTTGCACAGGCGGTAGAGATGGAGAGGTTGCCCCTCACTTGGTGCCGGTTCCTCCTGCCTTTTCCTTATTCTTCCACGCTTTGATCTCTTGCGCTTTGAGGATTTTGTGGCAGACGCTGAGGCAGCGGGAGCTCCACTGCCTTTTTCTTGGTC